CCCACCAGAATTGGGTGGGACACTGTGTCCAAAGCCTTCTGGAAGTCCAAGAAGATGACATCGACTTCCTCCTTCACATATAAGCTTTTTGTTACCTGGTCACAGAAAGAGACCAGGTTAGTCAGGCAGGATCGGCCTGGCACAAACCCGTGTTGATTACCCCTCAACATCACTTCCCCTGCAGGGCTCTCACAAATGTGGCCCTTGATAATTTTTCAAAGACTTTCCCCAGGATAGAAGTGAGGCTGACTGGCCTGTAGTTACCAGGCTCTTCCTTCCTCCCTTCTTGAAAATAGGGACCACATTGCCCCTTTTCGAGTCCTCAGGGACTTGGCCTGAGCACCAGGAGTCCTCGAACAGCCGTGCCAATGGCTCCGCAATGACACCAGCCAATTCCCTCAGCACCCGCGGATGAAAGTCATCCAGGCCCGCTGACTTGGACACATCTAAGCCCTCCAGGTAGTCCTTAACTAGGTCTGAACTAACAGTTGGGGGACTCGCATCTTTCCCAGGCCTCTCTACGCTATCACCCGAGAGCACCCCATTGTCAGTGGACAGGAACACGGAGGCAAAGAACTTGTTAAAGAGTTCTGCCTTCTCTCACGCGTCCGTCACCAACTGCCCTGCCCTGCCTCATAGGGCTCCAATGTTACCCTGAGACTTCTTCTTGCTACCTATATACTTGAAAAAGGACTTTTTGTTATCCTTAATAACAGGATAGTCGCCTAGTAGTAACTTTCTTTCTTAGCTTCCTATTGCAAAATCACATTAGACTTGAGTTAAAATACAGGGATTTTTTTCTCTAATATTTATTTGTCCATTTTATGTGATCATGAAGAGGAAGGGATGTATCCCTATAATTGTAAATGAGAGGAGATTTGGTCTGTGAGGCAGTCTATTATCAACAGAATGAAAAAAAATAAAAGCAAATCTTTGATACAGATTTTCCCTTTCGAGAGTTCTTGCATAGTTTCCCAGCAGACTATAATACCTTCTGGTGCAGGGGTTTTCAACTGGGGGTATGGGTACCCTTGGGGGTACTTTGGAAGGTCCTGGGGGAACGTGGCAACAGTGCCTTGAAACTGGCGGTACTTCCAGTTTCGCCAGTGGCACTCTGGTTTTGCTGCTGCATGCTGCGTGCCCCACTTATCCCTGCTTGTTGACTGGCCCCTGGGGGACTCCCCGCTTCTCAACCGGCCGCCGGGGGTACCCTGACAAAAAAGGGTTGAAAATCCCTGTTCTAGTGCAATTGCTTTTTGTCCCTCACTTTTCTCTTTGTTTAAAAAGTAAATTTGCAGAACTAGGTAAAAGGCTTAGAAACTGTTGTTTGATACCTGCCTGGTGATCGTTTTCAGGTTAAGAATCACAACTATGACAACATTTGCAGTCTCCATACTTTGTGTACTTAGAAATAGTTTGTCTATGAAAAGAAGAAATGACTAGAGGGCAAGTTCTCAGGATCTTCCAACAAAGAGCATGGTGAAGGTGCATGTTTTGGGATAGCAATCAGTCATCACCCAAGGGGGAAGAGGAGACTGCTTGTTGCAGCTTGCTATGAATATTGTATTGTAAATGTCTCACTGTTTAACACATGAAAAGATTGGTGGAATTTGCATAGAAAACTGAAGGATAACTACAATGAAAATACTCTATTTATGAGAAACACTTCACACAGACAGCCTGAAGGCTACAGCACTTTCATCGACCATGAACCTGCAAAATGTGACTTCCCTATCTTACAGACAGACAGACAGACAATAATTATCACCAGGGGTCCCGGTTTGCTCCAATAAAAAAAATCCCAACTTTTGGATTAAAAACATAACTCCAAATCCACATTTCCCCATGATTAAAATGAAACACCACTAATATATAGATATATAGGTATAGTGGTGTTTCATTTTAATCACAAAAAAGTGTGGATTGGGTTACTTTTTTAAATCCAGAAATTGGGATTTTTTTTTAATCAGAGAAAACCAGGATCCTTGATTCTCACCAATGTGTTTTGTAACTTTCTACTCTGTTTTTAGTAGTAGATAACCTGTGGTAGGCTGCTTACTTTTGTCATTCTGTTAAGTGATTAGTCATCAGATTTCACTCTATTTTTTATTTTCAGATTGATAAAAGACTTGGTGTTCCATCTTACTTTTAATGAGCAAATAAATTGGAACCTCCAAAGGAACAATAATAGAGGTAGGGATCCCATTACACTGTTTATTGTAGAAATACATATCCTGAGATGGTCTTATCTTACTTTGGCTTCGCCAAAAAGGACTTTGCAGAAAGCAAACTTCCTGAAATTCCACACTACTTATTTTTTTCTGTAATCTTTCTAATGTGAATGGGTTTTTTTTCCTATACAGAAGCTGTGTCAACCTCTGCATATAGGTGTTGGTATATTGTCATTAACTTGTCAGATGTAATCTGGACAATTCCATGACAAGCTTAGATTGCTTTAATAGTTCATCTCAGCTTTGACCTACATGGTATATATAACCTGTCCTGGGATAAGGTGGTAATTAGATTTAAACGTTGGCTAATCCTAAACACTATTTAGATGCAGGGAGGTACGTGCTGCCTCAAAAAGTAAATGGGGGCAGCTGAAAAAGTAGTTATTAGTTTACATGTGGCAAGAATATTTATTTTTCTAGGTTGCTTGCAGCATTTATTAAATTTGAATCTGATTCTCTCCATTGAAATTGATACCACGTAGTACCTGTCATATTATGATGTAAGTGTGAATGTGTATTGTAAGTACATGCATCTGCACTGCATAGCATACACAGACATATACTCATACTCACACCCACACATACACACACCCATATGCTCGGAACAGATTTAAGTGATAACGACACGCCGAAAAGTCCTGAACCACATGCACATTCCATACAGTGACTGTTTATTTTAAAAGAAAACTTATGAATGTTTTCAGGCAGTAATTGCCAAGTAAATGCTCATCTAATAGCTGCTGATATCATTGTACTGTAACAATTTGTTGTGGTAATATACCGTTCCCTGAATATCTTCAGAGAACATCAAGTCCTATAGAACACAATTATGAGGGTAAACAGTTGAAATACAGTATGCATGCAGAATTCAGGGAAAGGTTCCAAAGTGTAATTCTATCATAAGCTACTTTAGCAGTACAGTAAACAAGGGATTGTGGCTGGCCAGGAAAGGCTATATCTGGAATAATTAATCAATAATTCTTTACAAAAAATATTACCAGCTATAAACATTTACAGCCAAATGCCTTACAGCAATGCCAAATGTTATGACTGCAATTATACACAAACACACACATATATACCCACCTATACACACACGTGTGTGTGTGTATGTGTGTGTATGTGTCTATATACTATATATATAGACTAGACTGGATTATATATGCATATATAATATATACACACACATATATACACACGCACATGTGTGTATACATGCGTATATATGCATTTATATGTGTGTGTGTATATATATGCACACATCTAGTACTCTGTGTGTGTATATATAGTATACATATACATGTGTGTATGTATATGTGTGTGTATGTGTATATATATAAAAAAGCTTGTATAGTATCTATCTATACACACACGTATGTGTGTATTTGTATATATATATCTATATGTGTGTGCATGTATATTTGTATGTGTGTATA